GAGCTGAGTAAGAAAAACTGGATTTTAGATTTTAGAAATGATATTTTCAAATCGAGAAATTTGAAAAACTTTGAGGGGTCAAGTTTTTCGAAAAACGCATCATTTTCGGAGGCTACTCCTAATTGCGGCCGAAATGTAAGGCAATTTAGTAAAATTTTGGTCGCAAATTGGAACGACTAAAATTATACTGGTCCCATTTTTATTGCATTTTAAAGCGATCGATGTTTTCGCCAATGTAAAAGAAGAACATGGGGCCTCACAAATACTGAACAAAATTCAATGTCACTCCGTTCTCTTGAACCAATATCGAACTCAAATGCCACTAATATGCAAGGACAAAAACAAAATGGTTATTCTTACTCTTATTAACGCTTGTATCCTACAAATTGCGTCAGCTTACTCATGAACTCATGAATGAGTGTGCAAATAATTGTCTTTTTTGTTAGCCATTTTTGCACTATGAGACTAAAGTGCCAGTTTCAAGTATAGCTTGATATGTTTTCTGCAGCTGACCAACTTCTGACATGATCACCCATAACGTTACTATTCAGGACTACAGCTCTGTTCAGGGAGAGAGTCTAACGAGGAGTTCTTTCATCCAATTTTTTCCCATACTATAACAAATATAATTTTTTTAGAAAATAACGTTTTCCAATAAGTCTTGACAAGACGACACCTGTCTAATGTATCCGGCAACAAGTGATCTTCGATTGAAATCAAGTTGATGTAACTGTTCAAGTGCCCAGGACGAAAAAAACTGAAGAATTCTATATCGCTTTTTCAGATTAGATTTCTGTTCTTTATTTTTTATCCATACCGTCTTGCTGGTAGCAGTTCATGGATTTTCGTAAAGAAAAAGCCACTTGTTCTTGCTGTAATCGAACTTGCGATTCGATATTAACACAAAAGTCTCTTACTTTTTCAGTGTAGTCTAACCAGTCGAAGTCGATAATTGTGGATGGCTTTTCAACTTGAGCCTAAATGATATGAAAAACTCAACCTTGAGTGGAAGCATCGATCATTTGCGTCTGAATTGTTCGATATTCGAATGGTACGAAAACGTACAACTGAGTTAGAATTTGTCGTCTATATGCTTCAGCATCTAAGCAGCAGAAAAAGTAACGTCTCTGACAAAGAACTTCGTTTTATCTACCGGAAATGTCAGAGAATTGTATCATATGTGAAATTTGAGTGGGGTGAAGTCACGTTATTTATATTGCACGCCTGGTAAAATATTTTATGTCACCTTTTGTCTTTAAAAGTGATTCGATAAATAATACATTCTTTGAGATGAAGCCATGCATACATAGCATAATTCTAAAACCACTTTCGTCCCATCGGTAAGCAAGATAGCAGCGTTGCAGTGCATTAAATGACTAACGTCGAAATCACGTAAGGGAACAGATATGTGTCTCTTATTCCTACACGCCTACATGTACCTTTATGGAGAAAGAAAGAAAAAAACAACGAAAATACTTATAATAATAAAAATTCCTTTTCAATATCGAAAAAAATTGTCATGATACATCATGAACAAAGAAGACACAAACATGCAGATAAAGTGTTCACGTATTTTCTATCAGAGGTAACTATACAATCGATGAGTGTTCTGGCTTTTTATTCCGAAAGTCAGACTAGAACGCCATATCAATCGTATTCTCCATGCTGGACTGGCAACGCTCATGCAGTAAAGTTTTGGAAGGAATTTGACTTACAAAGAGTCATGCTGTTTCGATTAATGAACGTCACTTACGTCTTTTTATCATGTAGAGTATCAGGCATTCAAAACTTCGTTCATCATGTAGGTTTCTTGATAACTTTTGCTAGAAAAGAAATAGAAACATGCATTTTTGACTATTTTGCAGCGAACAACGTGGTTTCATCATCCTATGAAAAAATTAATCTTAAATATCAATTAACGGTGTTCTACAATTCTGCGCAAATTCAAGATACCCATTCTTGCTTGTTGCTTGTTCTTTCAGCTTTTCTGAAAGTAGCAAAATGCGTCTTTCCTAATCACTGATATGTTCGAAGATGAATTATACCGCCTCTTTGAATCTTGTCGAAATATCTATGTCCGATTGTATGAGGGATTTAAGTTGATCTACGTAAGCCGTAATTCAATCACAATCAATCGAAATCGCTTAGACGTAATCATATGGATACAATTTACGTATGTCTTCTCAAAAAAATAAATCCAATTAGAAGCCCACATAGGTTTGCATTGGAGGACATGATACGGCATCCTCGTTTTCCAAGGACTTCTTAGAAACGACAATTGTGGGCGATATTTTGAATTTGATCTTTTTCACAGATCGATTAATTCTGATGTTCGCTCCAAAACAGTAAAAAAACACAAGTTTCTGTTATCCATACCAAGGTTATGCGAAAAGCGGTGCAATACATTCTTTTTTGAATCTAAAGTGGCACATTATCTGAAACGGATCTTTAACGTATTTTTCTATTTAAAGAATACTGATTTATTAGAAAGTATAGACTTTATATGTAATTGGAAGAAAAAACTAAGTCCTATCGCACGTACTTTACTGTACGGCATCCCGATCATTTATATACAATACTGTTAACCTTTGAAATTTTAATTTTGTAGGCTACTCATGAATGAAATAGCCGAAATATGATCCTTACTTATGAACAAATTGGGTTCAAATACAATGGATGATGCGTTATCGAGTTTTTTTGATCAAATTACCACTATACGTACAAACTTGGAAAAAATGGTTCATCTAAGTGAAGAAATCAAATATCTACAATATGATATTCTCCGTTCGTTGGAAGTTCATCCTCAAATTGTGGAAACAGTTTCACAAAAAATGCTTGAAATGAAAACTATAACAAATGACGTACGAAAATTCCTTCACCAAACAAAACAAAATTTAACTGTTCAGCAATCGGCAAAGAGACGAATAGAAGTGGCTCAATTACAATCCGTTACGCACCAATTTCATTTAATATTAAATGAACATTATCAACGAGAAATTACGTACCGAGAAAAGTGTAAAACACGATTAAAACGTCATTGTTCATTAACCGGACGTTCATTAACTGAGGAACAACTGGAAAATCTAATTGAACGTGATTATCCGTCATTTTCAATTCCATCTGTGATGATTGATATTCAAAATAGTGAACAGTCTCTAACACATTTAGAATCCCAATATAATGATATTCAAAAATTAGAATTGAATATCAAGGAGTTATATGATTTATTTTTAGAAATATCTGAACTTGTACAAAATCAAGACGAAAAACTGACATCAATTCAAGAAGATATTTTAAAAACAGATGACTTCATTCAAGCAGCAATTATAAAACCAGAACAAACTAAACAACTGATGACTAAAAAGCCATGGAAGTACATAATTTTAATCGTTGTTACCATAGTTATAGTTATCATTATTATTTTTATTTTCGTTTTATGGAAGTTAATCGCATAAAATTATTATTTTATAAGCTTTTAGTAGCTATAGTTAAGTAACATTCATCATCTAAAAACTAGTAAGTAGATCCGTATCAAATAAGGAAAATCTATCTTTTCACATATATATGATTTATAGACATATAGACATTTGCTAACATTTGCCAAGATGTGAAAAGGTAGAGATTTTCCTTATTTGATACGGATCTATTAACAGTTTTTAGAATTATTTATCTGATATACAATGGGAATTCGCTTCTTATAAAAAGACAAGTTAAACCTAATGTTATCATGAAAAACAGTGTTATGTATCTATTTAACCCTTTACTCTTAGTTGGGCGACCTAAAGGAGGCGCGCTTGCTTTGTACTTGTGAGCAGAGATGTGCGCCGGTGCCGTGATATACATATATGTGAGATGTTTCCATTGACATTTGCTTCACATTTTCGTTGTCTACAAAAAGACTTATGTTCTCGCATTTTATTCTTCTACAGACTGTTATATAGTGTGTACGCACGTTAAAACACGCTTTCGTTGGATTTCTTTCTCTTTCATTCGACCACACATCTAGTCTATATACTATGACGCAAACGATATGAAACGAAGAAATGTACTATGATGCAAAATATTCAAATACATAGTCTATAGACCATATAGATATGCACCGAAAAAGAAAATGTAGTTGTTCTCTTTCCGTATGATATCACGTGTTTTGTCTTAAATTTTGTGTGTGATGTAGTCTATATAGCAATCATCCTTATTTACGGAAGGGAACAATTTCTTGTATTTGATATATTTTTTTCGCAGTTGAATAACATACACAAATACAACATTTATTTTGATAGAGTACTTTGAAGACTTAATTGTAAAAGTATTAGCATGTTGCTGAAGGAGAAAACACTAGGTTCTCTCACTGAGATATTTCCGGTTTAAATTAATTATCTACGTAGCTAGCTCATGTCATACCTAGAAGCTAACCAGTTCCAGAAATGTTTCACTCAGTCGGCTTCCAACCGGCTTCTCAGGGGCGCTATAAGCATCTAGTGGATGTTTCCCATAAGAAATTGATCAAACACCATTTTTATATTCACTTTTTAACGCTGAATAAGTAAAAACAAAGTCAGAAGAACAAGCAAATCAAAAATTTGAACCTTATTGAAACTAAAGAATTTTTCGACATTTCATGTCCTGTGAGTATTTTTGATTTTTGGACATGAAAAAAACTGTTGTTAAAATTCTGAAATACATTTTCTTAATCAGTTCGATGAGCTCTATCCAACGATGAATCAAACGCTCAAAAAATAAATTTTTCTTGATCCTTGCAATACGTGCACCTTATCTATATTTCAAATTACGACTCATTGATTAAAAATCGATCGCTTTAAAATGCAATAAAAATGGGACCAGTATAATTTTAGTCGTTCCAATTTACGACCAAAATTTTACTAAACTGCCTTACATTTTGGTCGCAATTAGGAGTAGCCTCCGAAAATGATGCGTTTTTCGAAAAACTTGACCCCTCAAAGTTTTTCAAATTTCTCGATTTGAAAATATCATTTCTAAAATCTAAAATCCAGTTTTTCTTACTCAGCTC